TGCTGCCGCTCCACCACCGACACGTCCAGCCGCCTCCGCGCATGCGCAACATCCGGGCGCTCTCCCCCCCCCAATCTTGGGCGAGGGGTCCCCCTCCCTCCTGCTTCTACCATCGTTACGGAGAAGTGGTGGTTTTGCGCAGGCGTGTAGAGGTGAGCAGCGTCTCTAAGGTCGCAAAGCGCCGGGTAACGTTTGCATGCGGGCGGGCGGCTGCTTTTGTGTGGGTTGGGGCTCATATTTAATATTGTGGTTGCTGGCGCTCTCCCCCCCCCAATCTTGGGCGAGGGGTCCCCCTCCCTCCTGCTTCTACCATCGTTACGGAGAAGTGGTGGTTTTGCGCAGGCGTGTAGAGGTGAGCAGCGTCTCTAAGGTCGCAAAGCGCCGGGTAACGTTTGCATGCGGGCGGGCGGCTGCTTTTGTGTGGGTTGGGGCTCATATTTAATATTGTGGTTGCTGTCCCCGCCCTAAGGGGGAAAAGTGAGTTTCCTTCCCACTCTCGTTTGGCTTTTCCCCATCTCAGGGGCCCGGGATTTTGGACTCCAGGACTCTGAACAGTGACAGGGGCGCGCTCCTGCTGCTTGGTGGGTATTGGTTAGCTGCTCGGGGGGGCTTTGGTTCAGTTTCTGGGGGATCACTAAGGTAAATACTATTAAGGGAAAATCAGGGTGTCTGTTTCACACCCATAGGCAGAGAGGACGCTGTTTGCCTGAGATGGCAGGAGGGGAGACAGACTGACCCATAGGTGGTGGCTAGACACCTTGCAAACTGGTCCAGGCACCTCCTCTGGTGTTCAGCGCTGCACATGGTAGTGGGTTGTTGTTAGGGCTCATTAATGCCAGGATTCACCACAGGGCACAATAAGTTAGGGCAGCAGCGAGACTAGATTCATCCATCCGCCTTCAGCTAGAAATTCAAAAGCATGAATGCAATTCTTCAACTCCTTTCTCATCCACTCCCCCTGCTCATCCACCACCTCGTTGTGTTTGCCATTTGACCCAAAAAAGGCTACATCAAATTCATGGGTTTTTTTTTAAGTCAAAGTAAATAATGTAGCTTGGCTAATTGAAAGACATATTGCGAAGAACAGCCTTCAGAGTCTGCTCAAACAGGATACAGCTCTCTTGGGTTTAGCTCTAAACTTCTCACTGTCTTTTTGCAGTTGCACAGTCAAAAGCCCAGATGTTTTGGAGCCACTCCTGAGTCTGAGATGTCTCCCAAAAGCCTGACATTGCCAAAAGCCTGAGGCTTGGGAAGTATGAGTGAGACCACAAAGAGCCATCATGTGTCATTGACAGCCCTTCCAGTTATTCCATGTTTGAACCTCTCATTTTCTGAGGCAGGGCTAGAACAGGGCCTGTATCATCTGTATTTCCTCAGTCTTCTTATATCAGGGCACTAGCTCTTGCAGCACATGCACATGTCCCAATATGCTTGTTACAGGCCTTGGGACACACCTTTATACCACGGGGTTATACTTGCAGGTTACATGATTAGACACAAGCATGTGGCCAGTGGGAATCCTTAAGGCTTCCTGCAATTTAGATGGGCTGCAGACAAGAGAGATACAGACCTAGGGAAATCCTAGTAGAGGTCTTACCATAACAGTTTGGAAGGATTACTACAGAGGAAGGATGTGGGAGTGTGTCCTCTCCCTTCCCAGCTGGTGGATGCTGGAACTACCATAAGGAAAGGGTGTGTATCCTTTTCCTTCCTAGCTGGAAAGTGCTATGTGTGGTTATATTCCAGTACCTGGAGTTGATTTGTTCTGGTTTTGAATTTCTTTTTTGAAAACAAAGCAAGCCTTGAAGAAAGGGTTGTGAAGGGCCCTGTCATTTAAACTTTATCTTTACACCCACAACTGATGAGTTTGCCACCCCCCTTCCACTTAGATTTAAGACACACAAATACCTGTGATTTATTGCTCAAAGGAGAGAATGAGGTGATTGTATTGATTTTATTAGATCCACCAGCAGCCTCTAAAACCCATACGGAGCTGTTTATTTGTCTCTGGGACAGGGAAGGGGTGAATGAGGGTCATTGCAGTGATAGTTTTCTTTTTCTCTCAGATCTTTTTCCCGGGAATGTTCTGGATTTCAGTTTGTCACCCCTGTTGTGCCTCCTATGATTTCTGTGGGAGACAGAGATATGTTGGAGCTGAATATCGGTTATTAATTGCTTTACTGTACATTACTTCAGCTCAAAGAAGCAGCAAAGTGAGCGCTAGAGCACATCCTCAGTCCTCTCCTGTCCTCTTGTGTGGGACATGAAGAGCCTTTTGGTAGAGAACACTGAGCAGCACTTCCCCATATCCTCTCTGTGCTAGCTAAGGCTGGCTTCGTAACTTGATTTTAAAATGCAGGGTGCCCAGTTGCTATGGTGATGAGCATAATAAAAGAACATAAAAATGCACAATGCAAGGAATAACATCCAGAACTGAGTTTTTGAAACAGAATTTTTTTCAAAATTATGCTAAGGCTTGAAGACAATAGTGTTAACCACTATTAAATGGAGCAAACTTCTTTCTTTCCCACACAAAGCTTTTTAAACGAGACACGTTTTATTTCTTTTAACAAAAACATTCTCATCTTGACTGCTTGATCTTGTAACACTTAGACCATATCCACGCTATAAAGTTGATTTGACACAAGTTATGTTAGTATAGAACTACCAAAGTTTCTATATTGCTTGGGTGCACTCACACTTGGCTGCTTGTGTTGACACTTACTATGAGTGCTTGTATAACCCACATCTCTTGCTTGGTGTGGTGTACTGTCCCATGTTGTGGCACCAAACCACTTACAGAGAGAATAAAGAGTGCACTGTACACCCTTTGCTAATAGCTAGGTGGCTTTTTAGCTCATGCAGTAGAGGCTAAGTTCTAGAGGTCCTAGGTGCAATTCTATCCACAGGCAACCAGGGTCTGTCTGCATTACACTTGCATCAATATACAATAGTGTGATGCACCCCAAGTAGGTATCACAGTGCTCCATGCTGTCCTCCTGGACTGTTCCTTTTGGGACATTTCACAGTGCTTAGTGGTCTTCTCTCTGGCTCGGAGGGTGGTCACTTCACCACACTGATGGTACATCTAGACTGCCTGCGGCTTTTGAAAAAAGATATGCAAATTTGTCACGAATCTGCATATCTTCTTCAGATCCCATTTTCAGAAGAGTTTTTTTTGAAAAAAAAAAGCAGTCTAGATGCAGTTCTTTCAACACCCCCCTCTTTTGTTTTTTTAGGAAGAAGGGTTCTTTCGAAAAAAGGGGTTTTTTTTCCCTAAAGAACCACGTCTAGACTGCTTTTTTTTTTTTTAACTCTTCCAAAAATTTGCATATCTTCTTTCAAAAGCCACAGGCAGTCTAGACATGTTCTGAGAGGTCAGCCCACTTGCAGGGGAAATTATCAAACCAGGGGCTATAAGGTATGAGGGCTCTGGTCCTCAGACAGGTCAGAACGCTAAGCAGTCTTGCGGGGCTCTAACCTGCAGGCAGGATAGAGCTGCAAACAGATCATTCAACCTAAGATGGGGAGGCTGCAACTCTAGGAGTAGAGTTGGCAGCAGGGAACAGGGGACTTAGTGGGGAGCAGGAATTCAGGACCCTGACAGTGGCAGAGGGCTTCACCAGTGGATCAGCAGGGACCCCACTGAAATGCCAACTCAAGCAATGATAGCCAAACCAGATGGTAGCCTTGTTTCCCTGGGATACTTCCTACCACAATCCAGTCAGGGGCTTCAGCATCCAGAAGTCCTCCATTTCCTCAAGCTATCTGGCCACTAGCAAACCCAGTCACTCCTCTCCAGGCTCAATCTCCTGGGGGCAGGCCACAGCCACAGGCCTGCAACAAACAAGAGATATGTCGTTCCTCTCCAAGGGTGTGTCTAGACTACAGGGTTTTTTCAAAAAAAGTGGCAATTTTTTGAAAAAACTTCTCCTGCATCTAGACTGCCACCGCGTTCTTTCGAAAGTAAATCGAAAGAACATGGCAGTTTTTTTGATCGCGGAAGATCTCATTTTACGAGGAATAATGCCTTTTTTCAAAAGCGCTTTTTCAAAAAAAGGCGTTATTGAATGCGAACTGTGCTTTTTCTAAAGAGAGCATCCAGACTGCCTGGGTGCTCTCTTTTGAAAAAGCGGCTCGCTTTTTCGAAAGTACTGGCTGTAGTCTAGACACTCTCTTTCGAAAGAGGCTTGTAGTCTAGGCATCCCCTAACTGAGCTGCAGCCCTTTCTTTTATATGTTGTGTCCCACTCTTAACTTCCAGCACAAGGGCTGGGCTTGGCCTGACTCCACCCACTCCAGTGCAGAGCGCAGCCCCACCCCTCTGGCTTGGAAGAAGACCCTCAACCTCACATCAGTGGGATAGGCTTTTACGGGTCAAGTTACCACCATGCCACTTTATCTAGCCCATAATACTTTCCACAACCCATAATTTTACATATTTTTTTAATTATTTAAAAGATATATTGGAATTGGAAAAGGTTCAGAAAAGGGCAACAAAAATGATTAGGGATATGGAACAGCTGCCTGATGAGACGAGATTAATGGAATTGGAGCTTTTCAGCTTGGAAAAGAGGCAACTAAGGGGGGGGGGAACTGATAAGGGGATTATAAATTCATGATTAGTGTGGAGAAAGTAAATAAGGAAAAGCAATTTATTCTTTCCCGTAACACAAGAACTAAGGGCCACCAGATGAAATTAATAGGCAGCAGGTTTAAAACAAACAAAAGGGAATCATTTTTCATATAAAGCACAGTCAACCTGTGGAACTCCCTGCCAGAGGATGTTGTGAAGGCTAAGGCTTTAGCAGGATTTTAAAAAGAGCTAGATAAATTCATGGCATATAGGTCTATTCATGGCTTTTAGCCAAAGATGATGTCCCTATCTCCGTTTGTCACTACTAGGAATGGATGACAACGGATGGATCAAAACTCCCACTGGGCACTTTTTAGTCTCTGATAGAAGCATGGACCCTGAAGAGTTCAATACAATTCTCATGTGCATTGCTTATACAGGACATACAATTCACAGAGCTTGAGGGAGCAAGCAGAACTGCAATGAGGAAGTTGTGGAGATATTTGCATACCATAACTGGATGCTGACGGACACAGTGGGGAAACAAAAGGCTTTGTTGATGTTGGCATTCACAGAACAGCTCCACATCTGGTGGTGCTGCTTCTAGGCCTGAAAAACAAGCTCTAATTGGTAAGATTGCATCATACTGCAGGTTTGGGATGATGAGCAGTGGCTTGACAAATTTCAGAGGCAATGGTCCACAGCCCTGGCTCTGTGTGCTGAGTTCACCCCAGCCCTTTGAAGCAGGGACACCAAAGTGAGCGCCACACTGACAGTTGCGAAATGAGAGGTGATCATGTTCTGGAAACATGCAACATTGTCTTGCTACCAGTCAGTGGGTTTAATTTGCATGTGTTGTGGGCTGTTGATGGCCTCTTACATACAGCACATTGGTCAGACTAGATGATTTGATGGGTCTCTTTTGGCTTTAAACTCAAGGGTGGGAAATCCACAATGAGGAAAATCCACAAGGAGGGCATCTGAGCATATCCCTATTTCAGCACTA